GCAATTCTACACTATAACACACAGGGATGCCCTGAGGCAGAATCAACTCATAGAGGCAACCAAGTAGACTTTTGTTTTTTATGGTCTCGGGTATAAACTTTGGGCGGCTAACTGCCAAGGCTCTTTGAGGGAGAAAGATGGGGCTTTCTGCTTTGGTAAAGGTCGACAGCCTTGGAAACCCACAGGGACGGTTCTACTTTGCCTGGCAAGCTTGCTATGAGTCGGAATGGGACTCAATGGCCAATGGCCGTCCTTTGGTTTGCTTTTTGGTTGCTATGTAAGGGAGCCCTGGAGGCGCTGTGGGATAAGCTCCAGGCTGCTAACTGAAAGCCTGCTGGTTCAAACCCACCAGTCACTCTGTGGGAGGAAGCTGAGGCTGTCTGCTTCCGGGAAGATCTACAGCCTCGGGACCCCCAAGGAGCAGTTCTATGCTTTCCAAGCTGGGATGGAAGCTTCAATATGCTGGGACTTTCTACCCGCCATGTCCACCCGTATGCCCAGATTCTTACACAGGCCAGGCATCTCATAGGTGCTGATTCACGTTCCAGTGGGTGAACGAAAGTTCTTCTGCCCAGAGACACCTGCTAGAAGGTCTGCACACTGTCAGGAAGCGGGAGTTGGCAGGGCAGGGTGGAAAGATACCCGAAGATGGTGCAAAACACTTCAAGGACCCTGCGAGAGGCCAGGCCTCCCCCTCCCCTTCACTGGCCTTCCAGGCCAGGTACAGGAGGCTAACTGTTATAGATAACTTTGAACACTGTTGCTTAGCCAAAGTTGCAGTGTAAAATTCCCTAGCTTCTCCCTTCCCCCAGACCCGGGCTGTACAATTCTCCACCTCTTGCCCGGACAGTGCGGCTTCTCTGGCCCCCAATTAGGGACTGGCAAACCTCACCTGGGAGCTTTGCAATAAACCTTTGAAACAGTTTTCTGCCGTGGCTTTCGGTCTTTCCGTAGCCAAATCTACCTTACAAGGACGTTTTCAATAGCTATGACCTTCCAGAAACAGACTGCCAGGCTTCTCTTCCGAGGCACCTCGGAGTGGATTTACACCTTTCAGCTAGTGGCCGGGCACGTGACGGTTTCTGCTCTCAGGTATCTTATTCACCTAGCATGCAGCCTAAACATTGCCAGAAGAAGGAAGTCTGAGGGAGCAGACGCCAGCGGCCCACCAAGGCTCTGCTCCATGGGGCTAGTCTTTATCAGTCATCGATCCAATGACTGTATTGACTCAACATCGAAGGGGCCCTGGGGGCATAGAGGTTACGCATCGGGCTGCGATCCTCAAGGCCCGCGATTTGAAGCCACCTCCCGCTCCACCCGAGATAGGGCAACCCTAATACGATGTAGCATCTCGGAAACTCACAGGGGGCAGTTCCACCTTGTCCTAGGGGGTCGCTATGAGTCTGAAGCGAACTCCATGGTCGTGTTCTTGTGTTTTATTTTAATTCCACCTTTACTGAACGTCTGCTACTGTCAAGTACTGTGCCCTTCCGAAGAAGTGCTGAGACGTCGAAAACAGCCAAAGGGGTCGACTGCAGCCTGATCATGGAGAGGCGGTTGCCTAGGTGACGGCGACTCACCCCCCACCCCCACCCCGCACAGAAATCCGCAGAAACGTCGGTCGAAACGGACACATGGCGTCCGTGACACGCCACGGACCGAAGGCCCGCGTGAAAGGCTGGGTCGTTTCCGGGTTTCGGGGCCCCGCCTCCCACAAAGGGTCGCGGTGACGTCACAGGCCCCGCGGCCGCGGTCGGGGGAAACCGCTCAGCGTTCCCCTTCCCCTTCCCCTCAGCCTCACCTGTGGACGCGGTCAGGGTCAGGGCTCGAGAGACTGGCGGCCCGACTCCCCGCCGAGCCCGGGACTCCCCTTCTCAGTTGCCCCGCGGAAACTTCCGCCCGGGGGAGGCGCGCTGCGCGCGCATCCTGGGCCCTGAAGCCGGACGACGCCCGCGCAGGCGCTGCTGGCTCACCGACTGCCGCCGGGCGGAGCCTACCCGGGAACTCCATTCCCCAGAAGGCACCGCGACAAACCCAGCCCTTTGGAACGCGGCCTGGTCCTACTGCGCATGTGCCTTCGGGCAGCCAATCGTAAGGCGAGATAGATGCCGGGGCTCCGGATCATCCCTTCACCCACCTTAACGCTTCTCATTTCCACGCCTCTTCTCCGGAACACAACTTCTCGACAAACTGTTTCCATGATCACCTGGTTGTCTCTTCCCAAATGGAACAGCTTCAGCATTCTAGGGAAAACAGAAGGTTGACTGAATGTCCTTCGACAGAGTCAAGGGTGGACTGCAACGCCGCCTCATCCTTATTTTGTCTAGTCTGTATCCCCTCTTTTTTATCCTCAGTGGGGCATCTAGGGGAGAGAAGCCAACTGAAGGCGTCTGCACAGCATTCTGGGAAACAGTCCTGGCGCTGGCGCGGAGGATTCTGGTCAAAGTAGCTCCGAGGAGATTACGCTGTGCCTGCAGTGGCCAGGAAGAGGCAGGCGTGTTTGAGAGGAGTGGCACCTGTGGGTTCCTGGGTGCTGGCGTTGCGACTGTTAAGCGGTGGACAACCATCTTGCGGAGCATAGACCTGGAACTGGGGTCGCTGAGGACCCCGGGAAGTTGGCGGCTCTGATCTTACTGAAGGGTGAAGGAATGGTAATGGGGTGGGCGGCACAGAAATAACAATAGGAGGTGCGAAGTTCACATGTGCAGATGCTAACCGAAAGATCGGAGATTGAAGGCCACTCAGTCACTTGGGAAGAAAGGCCTGGCTTTCATTCTAAAACTTCAACCAGTTGTACACTGACAAGACACGAAGTCGCCACAAGTTGTTGTAGCTCATGATGTCAATGAGGGCAACTCTTCATTGCTCAGTCCATCTCGCTATTTACTTGAGATTGATAAGTGCTTTTTAACATTAGCGGCAGTTACATGTAATTTGCAAAGTACACATTGGATCCACCACTTATCTGTCAGTTACAGGGGTGGCTTGCGTGTTCCTATGATGCTGGGAGCTATGCCATTGATATTTCAAATCTAGCAGTGCCATTCATGGGGGACACGTTTTAACAGAACTTGAAGACAAGATCAACAAAACCACAACCTGCTTCCGAAAACAACTGACCACTGAAAACTTCATGGATAGTAGGGGCACATTGATATACTGTAGTGCTGTCTGAAGAATCCTTCAGGTAGGAAGGCACCCGAAGTTTCCTCGAAGTGGAGTTCAACTTAATGATGTGGAAGAAGCAAAACTTTCAGGACTTTCACGTGCGGATGTGACAACCCTCAGAATGGGAACAATCTTAAACACCCATTAATTGGAATGTGGAGTGTACAATGTAGGAATTTAGGAAGCTTGAAAGTTGTAAAAAATGAAATAAAACACATAGAGATCGATATTCTAGGCAGTCGTAAGCTGAAATGGACTGATAACATTTCTTATCAGGCAATCTTATGGTCTACTTATGTCTATGCTGAGAATGACTAACCTGGAGCATGGTGTCATGTTTGTTGTCAAAAAGAACAGTTTCAAGATCTGTCCAAAGTACAACCTTGTCAGTGATAGGGTAATATCCACATGCCTGCAAGGAAGACCAATTAATATAAATATTATTAAAATTTGCACACCAGTTTTCATTTAAAAAATTGAAGCCTTTAACAAAAATCTGCAGTTTGGTTGATGCATTGATAATAACTGGTGATTGGAATGTGGAAGTTGGGAACAACGAAGAATCAGTAGCTGTAAAAACATATAAAAGATGCTGGAGATCACATTATAGAATTGTGTAATACTCCCCCCCCCCCCAACAATATGAACAGCAACAATATAGCGGACCTCACCAGATGGACTACATCTGAAGAAACAGTGAGGAAGCCCAAGATGATCAGTCAGAACAGCTCCAAGGCCCTGGCTGCTATCAGTGAGTCTTCATGTGGTGTGTCAACAGGAATGTCTCACAGGGAGACAAGCAAAGAGAGTCTGTGTCTGGGCTCTAGTGAGATTTATCTCCATGGCGCCTCCAGATGAGGTCATCAAGCTGCGACCTGATTGACAGGCTACACTCCACCCCTTCACTCTTAACAGTCTCAAGTTGACACCAGATTATGTAACTACCACAGTGTGCTTTCCCAAAGCCATACTATTCTTAGTCACCTCATCAACGTAGTCACCTTAATCAACTTTTCTGTGTGAAAAGCTGTACAATGAATAAGGAAGACCAGAGAATCATGGATGCATTTGAATTATGGTGTTGGCGAATAATATTGAAATTAACCATGTGCCCACAAAAGGACACCGTGCCTTCTAAAGTGGAGAGGCAGCGATCAAGAGGAAGACTCGACAAAATTCACCCAGTGGCTGCCACGGTGGGCTCAAACATAAGAACCATGGCAAGGACGGCGCAGGACCGGGTGTCGTTTCCTCCTGTTGTACAGAGAGGGTTGCTGTGAGTCAGAAAAAAGAACAAGTCTGTCTTGGACAGAGTACAACCAGGATTCTCTTTACAGGAGAGGATGTCTAGATTTGGTCTCATGTACTTTGGACATGTTATCAGGAAGTGCAAGTGTGGGAAACAAAGATTTCTCCTAAGTCGTCTCCCCCAAATACATGTTAGACTTAGGACACTGCTTGCCGCTCATGGTAAATGATTGTCAAGTTACCTCCCTGAAGGCAGACAGTTGCCAGACTACTGTCTGGTCCCACCACAAGTAGGGCCCACTCCCTGGTGTTAAGGACAATGGGCTACTTCTCTCTAAAGGTTCGCAGCCTTCAGTTTGGTCCTTGCAGGGTGGGTTTATACCCTACTGATAACGGTTTCTATGGAGAGCCAGAGAACAGGTCAAACCTGCTCAGTGACACATCCAAAGTCAGGCTGCTGTCATGAATCTAGGGTCTGCCCTGAATGAGCCATGAGAGGAGCACTGTGTCTCGAGTCTTGTATCTGTCTAGTACAGGACGCAAACATCTGTCCTTACTGGTTCTCATAAACAGCATCCATTCTGCAAACAGTGGGATGATTTGTGGAAACAGCTGCACACAGTATTTCCCTGGTAGCAATGAAAACATTGGTATGGGCCGAGATACGGAACTCACTCTCAAGGCTCTGAGAAATTCAAGTGTGAGAATAGCAAACTTGTCTGGGAACACTGCCAGTATTTAGGAGATAACTAATAAAGCACTGCGGGCTGTCGAGGCGGCGGCAGTTTTGTACCATCGCTGTCCGTGTCTAATTTGTGCTGCAGCCCTGTACTGTCTCTGAGTCTGTGTATCTGTCTCTGTGAGTCTGTGTCTGTCTATTCACGGTCCATGTTCTTTCTCCCTGCTCGAGAAACCGCTGCCATCACCGCCCATCTTGTCACATGTATACCCTTATTCCCTCCTGTTCCAATAGGGTATGAACCCCTAGATCACCCCCCCACTCCGATTACTGTATTACCTATAACACAACCCTTTCCTGTGCCATGTCTTCACCTGTAATTAGGGGGCTTGCATGTCCCCAGAGAATATAAAAGCTTGGTTAGCAATAAATCTCTCTCTCTCCCCACATGGATCACCAAGTGAGGCTGAGGTGAGCATCCTACCATGAATCGTGTCTTACTCCATTATTTCAATCTCTCTCCTATCTCTCATGCTCTCTATGAGTTTACTATAATCTTTACTTATTATCACTGTACAATTGCCCCTACTGGACCCATGATGATGTATTAGGGGCTGGTCAACCCTGACATGCAAGTCCCCAGAGAAGGACATTATATTGATAAAGTAGTAAAGGGTCAGAGGAAGGAGGAAGACCCTTAACGATTAGGATGGGCACAATGGCTTCAGCAATAGCCTAAGACATGACAATGTGAGGGTGGCATAGGACCAGACGGTGTTTTATACATATGGCTGATATGAATTGGCAGTGACATGACACAAAACAACAGCAGTAAAAATATAAGTACATTATGCAAAATATGGCACATGTTCCAGTTACATTTAGAAGGGGAGGTTTTATGCAAATGCTCAGGACGCAATTGAGACACAATTTTACCAGTAATATTTAAAACCACCTCAGAAAAAAAAAACAAAGAAAAAAACCAAAACAACAACAACAAAAAAACCACCTCTAAGAAGTGTGACCATACTGTCACCGCTGATATTCAGATGCACCAATTCAGATGCACCAGTCAAATGTAGCTATCACCCTCTTGAGCCACGCTGCTTATTCGAGTCTTGCATACAGGGTCTCCTTGCCTTTTCCTTTTCCTAGAGAACACCCACATTCTTTGGCTCATAGCTCCCTCCTTCCATCTTTAAAGGTTGTTATTCCAACTTTTGCTTTGCCCATCATTTCTTTTCTGACTCATTCCCCGGTACCCTATGTCACTTATTAGAACCTTTTAAAATGGCATTAGACCTACCCAGTAATCCAGGATAAATTCCCCACCTCCAAATCCTTCACTAATCTCACCTGTAAAGTCCCCCTTGCCTTCTAAGGTAATATACGTATTTCTGCAAATAATGCAAATGTTTTACTCCTGCAAATTGTACAACCCCCATCATGTGTTTGTTTTCTCTCAGAGCTATGCAGGTCATACAAGCATGCGCATGCTGCTTATGTGGGTGTGTTCAATGAGAGAAAATGCAGTAGCTAACAGACTCCCAGGGGGTAGGGCATAGATTTCTTTGTGTGTGGGAAGGTGTTCTATGTTTCTGTAATGATCTCAATTCCCATAAGTTATAAAACAATGGTGTCTTCAGAATACATATACATGACGTTAGAGCTTCTCTTTTGTGAGGTTCTCCATCATTAACTGTGCACATTAGACATCTGTAAAATCACGAGAAAGCGATTTAGAACATTTCTGAATTGAGACATAGAAACAGATGGATACCATGTATGC